ACACACACACACACACACACACCATTACCACCAAACTTATGTGATTATCCTCCTGTCTACGTGTTTCTAAAAAAACAAACAAACAAACAGGCAAGCAACCAAGCAAGTAAGCAACCGGAACAAGAAAGCAAACACGCAAAGGACAAATAAAAAAGCAATCAAACAAACGAAAAACAAATAATCTTTTTTAAACATTTTATGATCATACATACAAAATGGTTAGAGTGTCTTGATTAACTCTTAATATTTCAAACAAGTCTCACTCTGGAGATAGCACACAGTAGCAAAAGAGTTAATAAGCCTCGGTCTTCCTACCCATGTTGTGCCTCGTGTTCTACAACAATTCTGGAGTTCTATTTTCAAAGACAGTACATCGAGTTTTGGGCGAAAATGAAGTACCGATTTTGCCTTATAATCAATAACTTCTCAGAAGTATACGGGGTGCCCATTGGGGGAGAGGGTCTGGTCGGGGTGGTTTGATAGCTAGATAGATTGAAGGCGCAAAGTGGCTTTCGTGGCACAAGCCAATCGCGAACCACTCGTCGCCTCAAAAACAAACGCGTTTGTTTTCAGGCAACGAGTGGGGCGATCGCCCCCGACCCGACCCGACCCGACCCGACCCGATTCCAACCGCAATGGGCACCCCGTATGAGTGTGCTATAGATATCTTAATCAATAAGGCGAGGAAAGAGTGTTGAAGATATCCAAAGCAACTGGCTGTTGAGAGGCAATATTGTGTTTCCGTTTTTTTTGTTTTTTTTTGGTTGTTGTTGTGGTTTATTTCTTTCTTTATTTTTTCGCTCATATGACCTTATGCAGTTGCGAGCGCCGTAAAACCCCATACTGATTTTTTTAAAAAATATTTCTGGCTCTCCTGAACATTTAAGGAAACTGGATATACTGTCTTTTTAAATAATAGGGTCTAACACCAGAACTCCCTGGCGTAAAAGGTGCGTAAAAAGCGAGACTCCAACCGTCAGTTCGTCATGCACCTCGACATGAGAGTAAATGTTTGCAGCCCTGGAACACCTCGGTGCTTAATTAAACAAAACACTCCGAGCATTCTACGCTTGTACACTAAAACCCACTCAACAATTTGAAAACTGTTTTTTTAGGTGATCCTGAAGCATATTACGAGGACACCCCTCCATAACTGCCCCCCCCCCCCCCCCTGAACGGAGACTTGTATTAAGGGTGAAAAGCTGGGTGTTGTGGAATGGGGATGTTTTTGTTAACTCTTTCTATAGCATGCGTGGGTATATCTGGTCGTTCTTTACACCTTTTAACCAAGTACTGATAATTCGTGGTACGAAAAGGGTTAAGGAGAGAAAACAGAGGTGCGTTCAACACTTCCGGTGAAATTGTAAATATGTAAATAGAAAACATGTCAACACTGCACGTGAGAGAGAGAGG